TTCTAGCTCTTTTATGGCATGCATCTGAGCCCAGAGCATTTGCCTTAATTGTGATAATAGAAAAGGAATGGGCTTTGTGGTCAGGTAGATTTGATTTTGAAACAGAATTCTGACATTTGCTGCATTGATCTTTTGCAAGGAAATTCTCCAAGCTCTCTTTTCACCTCTTTAGAAAACTATCTATTATTACCTACATTGCGAAATTAATTCAAGAATTCAGTGATAATATATACTTCCAAAATATTTGTTATTATAGTTATCATTGTCTTGTCTTTGCTTCATTCTTATCTCTAATCTTAGGCAAATCCTTCACGTTCTACCTCAGCTTTCTCATCTGTCATATTGAGGGCAGTAATTCAGACCTCGCAGGGCTGTGTGAGAAGCAATTAAGAAAATGTAATGTCTAAATAAATGTTGCTCTGTTGTTATTATTAATTTTCTTTTACCTAAAGAAAGGTAAATGAAGTGGCAGCAGTAGCATGGCAGAAAACTCGATTGCGGGTTGAATTCAATCTGCCACTGCTCTGAGTCCACACACAAGTCCGCTCCTCTCTGGGTTTTTATTTCCACTCCTGACTGCAGGGAAAGCAATTCCTGTCTCCTAGTACTTGGTGGGGGCCTGAATGACATTGCGAACATTAAGGTCCTGCAATTTAGTAGATTCTGCCTAAAAAAAGAGCCAGGCCAGGCCATCTAAGCATAGAGAAGCCGTTAGGAAGGCTTGGTCATGGCCACTTGTTCTGGAAGCCGCTCCCTGACAGATGCCCACGTGGCCTTCCCGGCTCTGCCCAAGTGAGCTTTGATGCTAGGTCAGACAGGCATGTAAAAAAATGGAACTGTGGAAATATTGTGCAATCGTGCCCCTCAGCTGTCACACCCAGGCTGCTTTTTAAACTGACAGGCTGGAGTACTTCCGGGAACTATTATTACCTTCCAGATGTTCATAACAGTGAAACAAGCAGGCATTTGGTGAAAACCCAGAATGAAAGCGTAAAGTTGCTAGCATCAACTTGAGATCCAGGTACCCTAGGGACTGAAATCAGATTGGTCGACTAAAAAGATGGTGTTTTTTAAAAACAGAAACTTTGGTTCACTTGGCTCCATTAGGACTAAAAGTATGCCTGATAGCCTACCTTTGCTAACTAATTTTGCTAGAAACACTGCTTGCAGCAGAGAAAGAAAGTCTGCCTACTTTAGTTCACAGCATAGGTTCTTTCAGTGAAAAAGAATTAAGGAGAAGAGAGTGAAAAGGAATTAAGGAGAAGAAAGGAGTCAACTACCTTTAAAAGAGGCTGTTCTGGGAAGAGGTGATAGAGTCCCCCACGGGATCATTGTGATATTCCACACGATCATTGTAGTAATCAGCCTGCTACGCTGACACACAAACCCTGTACCCATTCACAGCGACAAGGGCTGTGTGGGAGTTGTAAGATATATAGAGCTGGCCCCTGTGGCTGGGGGAAGGGGCCAGGGAACAGTGGGCTCTTTTTCCTAATTAGCTGTTTTCATACAGGGAACACATGACCCAAACACAACCACCAACTGCGTCTTTGACATATACAGGCAGAAAGGGGGAGCTGGGCTTTTGTCTGCCGCAAATTCTTTCAACTTGCCTGTCACCCCAAGCTGCAAAACTCAACAATGAGTCAGATGAGCTGGGCCATTTCAGATAGTTTGCTAAATGGACTTGGAGACAGGTATTATTTCAACCCACTTAGGGTTGAAAAATACTGTAAAACATTAATATCTCATTTTCCCCTTCTCTAAGTGATCTGTGATCATCTTCTTTTGCCATTTGCCTGAGTTTCCAGTGTATCTATCCCAAAATAGTGTGCAGTTTAAAAAGAAACACATTTCAAGGAACCATATTTCTTAGTAAAGAATTCAACCCATTCATAAAGGCTAATCATTCTCCTACTCAAACTTTTTTTTTACATTGACTGTTACCTTGGTAAGCACAGATGAATTTCAAAGAATATTGCAAAGGGAATTACTTTCCCTTCCTAATGAAAGGCACCTGCTAGCATATGTGGTCAGTTTAAAAATCAGCAAATTGGCCAAGCGCGGTGGCTCAAGCCTGTAATCCCAGCACTTTGGGAGGCTGAGGCGGGTGGATCACGAGGTCAACAGATCGAGACCATCCTTGTCAACATGGTGAAACCCCATGTCTACTAAAAATACAAAAAATTAGCTGGGCATGGTGGCGCGTGCCTGTAATCCCGGCTACTCGGGAGGCTGAGGCAGGAGAATTGCCTGAACCCAGGAGGCGGAGGTTGCAGTGAGCTGAGATCGTGCCATTGCACTCCAGCCTGGGTAACAAGAGTGAAACTCCGTCTCAAAAAAAAAAAAATTAGCAAATTGAAGAATAGAGGATAAAGCATGGAGAGGATGTCCGCTGTGTGGATGTAGATATGTGTGTTTGTGTGTGATATTGTTGATTTTATGACTTGGAAGTAATGAAAAAAAACCTCAAATATTTTCCAATAGTTCTACATGAATGATTTTTCCAGAGCTAGAGGTAACATGTGCTAACACTAACTGTGCTGAACTGGAAGTCATCAAAATGCCATGCCTGATGGCACTGCCCAGGTAGCAGTCACCAGAGAATTTCCATATACAGCTCAAAGAGAATTTCCATCTATAGCCAAGGATTCAGAGAACCTTCCAGTGCTGAGATTAAAGAAATCCACAACAAAACGCTTCTCCAAGTGGGTAAACATAGTCTTTCCTGGAAAGGGCCGTTTAGAAAAATAGTGCCTTCTTTGTTTTCCCACATATTTACTTCATTGTATAGCACAACTGGAAAATGGTGACAAGACCATAAAAAGCTAGATGGAAAAGTGTCAAATTAAACCCACAGCAAAACCCAGAGCTGATTGGCTTAATTGGAGATAATGAGAAACAAAACCACAACCCTCACTTGCAAAGTAAAATAGAGAACTGAAGCAATTACCCAGAAAATTTACCAATGGCCCTTTGCCGAAATGCCTAGAAAACTGAAACCAACATGTTTTGGGATTTCAAATGTCTGGATAATACCTAAAAGTCCCATCTCACTTGCCAGTGATGATCTGGACTCAGTACATACTCCTTTCTTTCTGGTGAAAAGTAGAAAACTGTCCTCAAATATAGTATAACATTCACCACAATTCAGTGATCAGGTTGCTGCCCACAAAGACTATTATCAGTCCCTCTGGGCAGAGATTTCAAGCCCTGTTATACTAGAAAGCAGTAGATGAAGACTTGAGGTGGGGATGTCTCCTGGAGGTGATGAAGACTTACAGGGTCAGTGAAACAAAAGGGAAAGTGAATGCAAATGCCGTCTTTTAGGAATTAGACTAGAGTACATTTTTAAAGAAAACTTAAGGTCATCTACCCACAGCTAGAGTATGATCAATCAAGCCATTTGCAAGTGGTCAAACTCAGAGGCTTCTTCATGTGCCCAGTCTTTGGAAGTCCACAAATATGGGATTCTACAAATTCGTGCTGTGGACGCAGCAATCACTGGGGGACACCTAGGAAAGGGGAACACAGCCACTGCAATTTTTTCTTTTTAATCTCAGATAGTACTATCTTGGGCAAAATCACTCATGGTTCCGACTGATACTTCACCTTTGGCATATATGCCATCTCTCTCCCTGAAAGTCCTAACAATGTCATGTCTCTCTCCCCAGAACAGATGTGTTTCAGGGTAGTGACCCTGCAGAGAGAGCAAGTTAGACTGTGGTAGATTTGATGACCGGAGCCCAGAGAAAAAAGTATTTGGCAGTGGGGAGGGCTGGTGGGGGCCTTACCGAAGCTGGGGGCGCTATGCAAGGTCATGTCCCGGATCACCCTCGTGCCAAAACAGGACCACATCAAGAGGAACTGCTGGGCCACTTTCTTCAAGGACCCTTGTCTCTTGGCAGCCACCTACAAGAAAGTGAATGGCTTTAATAGTGGTTGACTTGACCTTTCATTTATTACTGTCTCTTTGAAAAATGAGGCTAGGTGCAGTGGTTCATGCCTGTAGTCTCAGCACTTCGGGAGGCCAAGGTGGGTGGATGATCACTTGAACCTAGGAGTTTAAGAACAGCCTGGGCAACATGGCAAAACCCTATCCCTACAAAAAAAAATACAAAAATTAGCTGGGAATGGTGGCACACCCCTGCAGTCCCAGCTACTCAGAAGGCTGAGGTGGGAGAGTCACATGAGCCTGGGGAGGTCAAGGCTACAGTGAGCTGTGATCTCACCACTGCACTCCAGCCTGGGCAACAGAGTGAGACCCTGTCTCAAAAATAAATAAATAAAAAGAGAAAAATGACAGGAAGGCTTATGAGTCTTCAAAGTCAATGCTATGGAGCAATGGTCTTTGTTTTGTTTGTAGCAGCAAAAATACTTTAAAAGATGAAATCTTAGGCCAAGACTCAGTGTATACAGCAGATAAAAGAGATGCTGACCTGACTGAATCAGCGATAAAAGACTCAAGAGTCCTGCCTCCTGCTACCTCCACCTCCTGGGGCCTCTCCTCAAAACCCTGTTCAGATAGCTCACCACAGGGCTTTGTCTCAGCCAAGTTCACAGAGGGCAGTGGTGGGCTGCAGGACCCAAGGCTGCCCCCTCAGCTTCGGTTTACCAACCTTCACAACACAGCGGTCAACCATGGTATCCAGCCACTCAATGTAGGACTCGATGGGAGACTGCTCCTCCAAGAGGTGGTCAAACTCCTGGTACACTGTCAAATAAAGGACAGCCCCACATGCGTCACTCATTTGTATTTAACAAGAGCTATGTCTTAAAAGAACAGAGGAACAAAACTTTGAATAAAGTAAAACTTTAAATAAACACAACTCCCAGGTCTTAGCAGAGCATTCAAGACTTTATAAAACATGCCCCAACCCACCTTTCCAAGATCATCTTCCATGCCTGTGAACACTGTGGCCACCTCATATTACTTGCCATTCCCCCAAGAAGCCCTGCTTTTTTCATAACCTTAGTCTTTTTTTTTTTTTTTTTTTCAGGCTGTTCCCACTACTTGGTTCCTCATGGCCCAGCTGAAACCCCGGTATGAAATCCCTTTAACCTTCATGCCCCTTGCCAGCAGAACTGATCACCCCTCCTCTACACTCACAGAGCACTTTATTATTGGTTTTCTAACTTGATTATGTGACTAACAGCACTGTTGTATAGTTCAGTGTGCATGTATGTCTCCCTGCTAGTTCTTTGTCTGATATCTTTATTAGCTGGTGCATTATCTGTGACCTAGTTGTTACCCAACAAATTCTTGCTTGACTTAATGGGCGAGGCATTGCCACTCTCCTGCTCTCTGCCCAGGGTAGGGCACATTTGATAATTCAAATGTTTCTGGACCACAACTATATCAGGCAAGTCACTTAAGCCTCTCTGTGTGATGTGTAGCAGGCGTTTAATAGATATTTGCTGAGTAAGTGAAACAATCTCTCAGCCCCTCAGTTTCCTCATTAGAGAGATAATCTTACCACTTTACAACCTGTCTTCACCTTAAGTCAGATAATTGAATCTGGAAGTGCTTTTTAATCAATAAAGTACTCTAGAAAATGGAAACATGGCTCTGGTGATCTCTAGTTTGAAACATCTTTTTGTCACGTTTTTGTGTTTCTGTATGCAGAGATCAATAAATTAAACCACAATTCAAGATCATACGTTTCTTTCATTTTCATTTGAGCAGTTTTTGTTCTCTCATTTTAAAGGACTGGCCCCTTTGCTCTATTTTACGTAGTTGATGCTTGCTACAAGAAGTAAGATTCTGAGACCAGGAGGTCCTAACACTAGAATGAGAATGGGCTTTAAAAGTCAATTTTGTTGATCTGTCTCATTTTATAGATGAAGAGCTGTCTTGATGAGATTAAACAACCCACTGAAAGTCAGAGGGTAAATTAGTGACAGAGCTCAGGCTGGAACCCAGGTCTCTGGATTTCTCTTTGGTGTTTTCAGTCTCCATAATGCTATCTGTGTATCTGAGCTATTGTGCTTTAATTCACGATGACAGTATTGATGGTGGTGTGATAAAAATGCTAAGAGCTAACATTACTGAGTGCTTGCCGTGTACCAGGCACCCTTCTAAACGCCTCCCATGGATGCCTTAAGACAACCCCTAAAATGTGAATCATAAGCGCAGGACTGTGTCATGTTCACTGTTTGACTTCAGTGCCTAGAACAGTGCCTGGTACAGAGTAGATGCTCAAATGTTTGTTGATTGAATGGATGAAAAACCCAATGACGTAGGTACCATTATTATCCCCCATTCTACAAGTGAAGAAACAGGCAAACAAAGATGAGTAACTTTCCAAAGGTTGTTCTTTCACAACTAGTGAATACCAGCGGCAAGACTCAAACACAGCCTGACTCAAGTGCTTGCCTCCTAACCACTTCACTATGTTAGCACTGGACTGTGTACCAAGCATGTGGCACATATTGTCTCATTTAATCCCTTCACATGAGTCCCATTTTACAGAAATGGAAACCAAGGTCACAGTGTGCTGGAACCAAGGTTTGAATCAAGTCTTTTGGGCATCCCAGCCCCAAGCTGTGTCAGACCATGGTTTGTTGGGCATCCCAGCCTCATGCTGTGTAAGAGCTGTATAAGAGCAAGGTTTAACTAAGGTCTGTTGGGCATCCCAGCCTCAGGGATCCCAGCCAACGGACCTTGGACATGTGGCTGGGATGCCCAATAGACCTTAGGCAGTTACAATTATAACTCATTCTAATCAGCTTGCTTAAGTACTAATGTGCACTTTTAAAATCTAATGTAAGCTGAGCATTGCCAGCTACGATCTACATCACAGAGGTTATGGTAACCCCCTAAGCAAGAGTTTGCAGATTTTTCAGCTGGCTATGAGGAAAGAAGAGCACTGTACACAGTTGTCCCAACCCTGCTCAAGCTGACCTTTGGTCCAACTCCCTGTATGTTCAGGGATTTCCCAGGTGTCTGGTTGGGAGGTGCAGGCTTGACACCCATGTGCTGGACCACCTTGAGGCTTGGTACCCTACCTCAGTTGCCCCTGCACAGCACTACATTACATGGCATTGTTCTCTTTGACAAGATGCAACACATCTGTAAATACACGTTCAAGGTCTGATTTGCCATTAACTGTGAGCTCCGTGTCAGGAAGGGATGTGTCCATTTTACTCACTGCTCTTTGCCCAGCATCTAATATAGTACCTGACTTAGGACAGGCATTCAGTAAGAACTAGCTGGGTTGAACTCAACCATGGCACTTCCTTCCCCAGAAGAAGAATACAATCACAGCTTTAAAGGGCACTATTCTACCCAGGACCTAAGGGAACTTGAAGAGAAAACCACAGAAGGTTCTTTATTGAGAGAGGCAGCAGTGACCTCCATGGTGCTCCAGCAAAGGCTCAGGGCCTGGTCCCTTAAGCGAGCAGTGCTGATTGTATTTTTCCCTATGAGTCTGGTTCACATTTTCCTCCTCATGAAAGGTGCTGAGTGGGAAAGAGAACTGAGTCAAACACTGCTAGGAGAGTTCGCAGAGCTAAGAACTAGGTTCACTCTGGGTTTCCACTTATCTTTCTGGCATTCCGTGGAACTTGCTGGACATCTGCTTGGTGCCCGGCCCACTGGGAGTTCCTAGGGACACAGTGATCAAAGGTACCCCCAGTGCTATTAGGGTGTGCAGGGCCATGCTTTCTGTTTACCTTCCAGTAGGGCACAGGGAAATGCAGAACAGGAAGCATGATCGTAAGCACTGGGAAAGATCCTGGAACCACCCACATTTCCTTTTTTTTGTCTCCTCTGCACAATCACAATATGAGCAGCACTAAGGCCTGGTGGTGAAGCCGAGACTAGACTTGGGTTCAGCTCTATTGCTTAGTGGCTGTGTGACCTTGAGTTAGGTTCACCAACTTTCTGAGGCCGAGTTTTCTCATCTGTAAAGTGGGGGTGATAAGAGTGTCTTCCTCATGGGGTTGATGTGAAGATTAAATGGAACTATGTATGTGTTGGATTTGACACAGGAGCTGGCTTAGAATAGGCAGTCAGTAAGTGGAATTATTATTTTAGTGATGATCTCTAAAATTCTTAAAAGGGGAAAGGTGGGCTGGGGGCAGCTGTGAAGGAATAAGTAACAGCCTGAGCTGAGCTTGCAGCTAAGCCAGGAAAGAAGCCCTGGGGAAAGTCCACATATTCGAACATTTCAGCTGTTCCATTTGGTTTTGAAAAGGGCTTAATGGGAAAGAGATCTCTAATAGGACTCTCTTAGGGAACTTTATTTGTTTAAAGGCACGTCAAGCTTAGACTGGGTAGCTGAAGAAAGAGTTCCAAGAGAGCAGTGCAGAAGGCATATACTAAGAAATCTGAAGGGTCTGGGGCTTTCAGAAAGACCTCTCTTCTTGGTGGGAGAGCCTCTCTGCTGCTCCCCAAGCAATGTCACTGTTGGGATCCTGGGCCTCACCCCAGTAAGAATGTGGGGGTGGCATGCTCTCAACACCTTTCTGAGACCTGATGGAAGGAGTGCCCACTCACCTTTCCTGACCTCATGTTCTCTAATTAAGGAGGTAGCCTGTAGATGCCAATGGATGGATCCAGGGTCCCTGGGCTGGGGGATGCCCTGGGTAGTCAGCTGGGATGGGCATCTAGGGAATAGCAGGGATGTGCTAACAATGATGGTGTTCTCTGGCCCTCTCATATTGCTTTAGTACTGAGAGCAAATATCCCGTCCATATTGGGATAATATTTGGAGCAGTATACCTGCAGCCTGCATGTTGGAAGTCTTTGTTCACTGGGACATGAACGTATATTCACAGAAGTAAAACACCATCCACCTGCTTCTCAAACATTTAACATGATTGAAAGGTTCATCTGCCAATAGGCGGGCTGACTTATGTGACCCTCAAATGAAAAATAGGTAGCATATCTGGCTGACTCCAGGCTGACATACACTGAGAGAGGCAATAAGCTTTTGTTCTCATATTTAATGCCACCTTCATGGAACTGTGGCTGGTGTTCAGGTCACATGTGGGTCCCTTTGCATGACATTGTGTGCTGCCCAGTTGCACCAGAATACTCTTTATCCAGCAGTGTTGACACATGTCCTCTTAAGTCAATTAGCTCTTCCTTCTGGACTGACTCATTTAAAAGGAACAATAAGGAGGAGGAGATGCTGGGAAGAAGGACAGGGTGGGGATGCCATTTCAGTATTTACTAAGATACTTTTTCTTTCTTTCTTTTAAAAACAGAAACAGAAGAACAGCAATCCCTGGTGGGACATCTTACATTGGATGATGAGTTTCCGGTGTTCATCGCGAGAGTCTTCCATGGTGTAAAGGGTTTGCTTGGTGATGCTGTTCAGGTCCACGTTCCTCCAGTCTTCCAGCATTTGGAATGTGATGTCTGCGCTGTGGATCACTGTTCGAGATGCCTGGAATCCAATCCAATCAACTCATTAGCTCATGGGTTGTTAGGTTAAAACCTCTTCACTGTTTTTTCTTTTATGCCTTGTTAATGGATCTGTTTATGGTATTTTGCAAACTAACGTGAAATTATGGGAAATTCAATTTCAGGAAAGCACCAGAAGACTCCATAACTCAGAAGATGCAGACGCTGTTTTCTCCTGTGGCTCTTTCCACACATCCCTTTTTCTCTACAAGAAACTACCAGGGTGGGCCGGGCCAGACCAGACCCTGCTGTTTCCAGTCCCTTTGGTCTTGACCCCATGGAACAATAGGATGAAGCCTGAGATCTGTCAGCTTTCCGATGTAAGCCTGTGGGATGGGAGCTCTGTGCTGAATAATCCTTGTGTCTCTAGTGCCTGAGAAGCCACAGGCCGAGATTTAGAAGTATTCTTGCTACCCTTGGGCCTGACCTAATCCCAGAAATTTCAAAGTGTGTATTTTTCATATAAATACATTCTGAAGCAGTTTGTGCTCTAGTTTTCTGGTTTTGCTTTTTTTTTTTTTTTTTTTTTTAAAAAGTAACTATAATGATTAAAATATGAACAACTGAGTTGGGGGAAAGGGAAATCATACCATACATCTCAGTAGTTTATTAGTGGGTAGGTGGATGAGTGGATGGATGAATGGATGGATGGATGGATGGATGTGTATGGTGTGTGAATAATCATATATATATATATATCTTTTTTTCTTTAAAGCTGTGGCTTTTTCACAGAACCCTCATTAGTGAACTTAAATTTACAAGTTGGAACAATATCATAAAGTTGAAACAATACTGATAAAAATATATATCTAGGGATAATTTCCTTTACTTGCATGTTTTCAAAAGGTCTTTTAACAAAATAAAAAAATGATTTACACAAAGATATTGTCAAGCCTCCTAATGCTTGTATATGTCTAGGCAAAGATAAATATTGACAACCCCTTGTTGTACCCAGACCATCCAAGCACAAGTAAAATCTTAGTTAAATAATTGTAGAACTCTTTAAAGGTCACAAAGGTGTAGAATATATGAGTTATGTGAATCTCTAATGATAATGAAAACAACTGACTGTAAAGGTCAGGTGTCCTGGATTCCAACATACCTAGTTCAAATCCTGCCCTTGTTGCTGACCAGGCAAGTAGATTAACCTCAGCTTCCTTATCTATAAAATGTGATATAAGTACCTATCTTGTTTTTTTCCTGAACATGTTCCTTCAGAGATGCATTGTGAGCTATTTTGTTACAATGAAATGAACTGTTTACCAAAGAGTGAATTCTGTAAGCAAGTGTTTAGAATGTGGTGTTTTTTTTTTTTTTTTTTTGGAGATGGAGTTTCACTCTTTTTGCCCAGGCTGAAATGCAGTGGCACAATCTTGGCTCACTGCAACCTCCGCCTCCCAGGTTCAAGTGATTCTCCTGCCTTAGCCTCCCAAGTAGCTGGGACTATAGGCACGTGCCACCACACCCGGTTAATTGTTCATATTTTTAGTAGAGACAGGGTTTCGACATATTGACCAGGCTGGTCTTGAACTCCTTACCTCAAGTGATCTGCCCATGTAGGCTTCCCAAGATGTTGGGAATGCTGGCATGAGCCACCACGCCCCACCTAGAACATGCTTTTTAATGGGGTCTCTTACCATTGTGTTTAGGGCCTTAGTGCCTACCTCTTAAAGGAGGGCTGCTGTTGAGGATTCCTTGAGATAGTATTTGAAAAACAGAGTGCATAGTGCAGGGAGCTCAATAAAAGTGGCTACTGTTATTCAGTTCACTTCTTTCAATGATTGTGTTGATTCCTCAAGGCCTTTGCAGATGATGTGATTGCTAGCTGGAACATTCTTCGCCCTCCTTGCCCAAGCAGCCCCTCTAGGATGTATGCTCCAACTTAAATGTCACATCCATGGAAAGGCCATCTCTGACCACTTTATCTACATAGGAACTGAATGCTTTGTAGTTTTCTATTTCCATTCTGTTTCTTTTGTAACATTTAACACTTTTAATTTATTTCCTGCTGAGGGCAAGTACCACTAAGCACAGCAATGGGCACACAGTCGGCACCCAAAAGATTTTGTGAAATGAATGGCTAAGATGGGAATGCCAAGTGCTTACTTGCCCAGTGCATCTGAAGGAGCCTGGACATGAGAATCTTGAGTCTAAGTATTGGGGGTGAGTCTTCAGTTGAATGTTGTTTAGTCTGACTTGCTGTGTGTGTGTGTTTAGGAAAGCTCACTGGGATACTAGCTGGTGTTTCATTTCCAGCCCTAACCCCAGTCCTCTGATCTGGGAATGTGTCTGAAAGCTGTCCAGTAAGGATGGAAAGGTGGCATTTGCCAATTACATACTGATTTTGTGTGGAAGGTGGAGAGGGAACGTGAGCGAGTGCCCCCATGCTTATGCAACACGTGGTTATAGGCATGGGTGTGTATGCTTTTATCTACATGTGTATTAAAGGGACAAAGTCTTCTCTAAATTGTCTGATCCCCAGAGGGAGGCACCAAAGCCATGCCTAGTTCCCTAATGTGACCCAAGAGCCACTCTCCCAAGCTGGAAAAAAAGAACCAGATGGCCAGGCTGGCATGCGTCCTCAGAAATAAGGCAACATTTCTTTGTTAGGCCAATATTCATTTTCTTCCCTGAATCCCATTAATCTGTCAGGCTCTGCCCCGTCACCAGAACAACACCCAGGTGTAGCCCCTGTAGCAGCCTGCACGAATCTGGAAGAGTTTCCCCTGGTCTTCTCCATATCATCCCCTGTGCTGTCCATGCCAGGGGCAGGACAGGAGCAGTGAGGTATATATGGGCATTGTGTTATACTTTCTGGTTCCTGGCCTGGGACCCTCTTTCAGGCCACTCTAACTAGAAACCCCTCCCTCCCACCTTGACATTGAGCCCACCCAGAACCAACAGCACCTTATAGGAGAGTCTGCAAATACAAACACAGGAAGGGGGCAGGCAGGTGACATTCAAGAAAGAGGTGGGCCTCGTGTGTGAGAGGTGGTGGGATGAGGACAGTGGCCCTGCCGAGAAGCTTGACCCAACAGCTGACAGCTGCCCCCCCCCCCCGGGGAATGGGAATGCAGCTCTGGGAGCAAGTTGTCAGCTCTTGGAGTTTTTCTACAGACAATATGGGTGTTTATCTGTCATCTCCCAGAAAACATTGTTTTGAACATATTCAAATCAACAACATAACCCCACACATCTGAGGGCCAGATTTAGCCTGTGGCCACTGGTTTGCCCCCTTTGCTTTAAGGTCATTAATATTTTAATGTAATGTTAATCGGTTGCCTCAACAGACTTAGAGTCCCTTCATTGAAGTGCAAAATTAATAGAAATGTAAAGGTATATGCCATCAAGCTATAACTACAGAGTTGATAGGGGCATGGATTGGGATCTTCCACTTTTACTTAATACATTTATATTTTTAAATTTTTTAAATAGCAAGCATTATGTCACTTTTGGGCTAAAAATAATGCAGGTCTGGAAAAACTAAATAAAACTGGGCAAATACTGAATATATTACGTGGCTTTGAACTCTTTTGGATGATACAACAATACAAATAATTCTCTTAATCCGTTTGAATCCTTTGACTCAACCACTACAGACATTTTGGGCTGGATAATTAAGAGAAACACAGAACTGTGGACCTAGAACATATCTGAAAGATTAAGGGCAATTGATAGCAGAAATTATTTTGTATATTTTTTGGAACTATTTAGTTATTGGCTAATGTTTTCATTCCTTATCTGTAAAAATTAAAAATAATAGTGAGAGTGCCCTGTTAACCTGAAAGAACCTGCAGAAGTTGTTTTTGTGGATTTGCCCCCTCATTTGCAATGATGGCAGTGATTAAAACACGTAATGGAGGACAGCTACCTGGCAGAGATGATTTAGTGATGTTTGCCGTCGCAGAATTTGGGAGAACCTTCTCGACACTGCAAGGAGAAAAGAATTAGTTTGAAATATTTGCATGCTTTATGATTCTAACTTGGATTTTCCAGGGGCAGATTTCAAAAAGTAGTCTCCTTACTTTGCCTCCATTTGTCTCACTGCCCAATCCTATTTCATGTACCCACTGGAGAAACCCTGCACTTGATTCTTTGTTCTCCCATGTGGGCTTCAACAACTATTTCCTAATGGTGACATTTGGGGTACATATTTCAAAGTCATGCACCCGATACACTCGCAGGTGTGAGAAATGGTGGTGTCAATCAACCGTGAGTAAAAGCAATTATTTACTTGTCTTTCATTTCGCTAATTGCAAGCTCAATCACTTCTCCCCATAAATAATTGCAGGAATCAAGTGGAAGCTTTGAAGAAGCCCCTTTAAAAAGTAGTATGTCTAACAGTAAACCTTGATTGAGCCTCAGCGGTGTGTGGGGCTAGGAGGTGCTTCTGAGGAACCCTGGCTTTGCATTCATAATCTGTCCTTTTTATCAAATGATCTCCATGACCTGTTTGCATGTTTTGATGATTACTGCAGCTAGGAAAAGGTCTTGTTTCCTACACTGACATAATAGGCTGATAATCTGAAGTAGGGTGATCTTATATCTGTGGATTTCAATGCAGATGAGACATGTGCCTGCCCTAGCTCTTCGTTCTTACAGAGTCGTTGGAGTGGGGCTTGTTTCCACCCCTTGCACATTCTCAAAATACACTCCCAGGCTGGGCTTCCTGGGAAGAACAGCTGCCGCCAGACACACACAGGTGGAAGGTCCAACAAACCTCCTCGCCACCAACTTTGAACAGGTTTATTTTGTTGGTATAAATAAAATGGGTGTGGGAGTATTCTTCTTGGTAATTTCTGAACTGGTCAAGTAATAAATATTTCCCTAGGATTATTCTAATTTGTACTCAGAGCTGGCTTGATTTGAAAAATAAGGTGTGGGGTGGAGGAATGGGGGTGGGAGGGGGCAGATGGACTTCTAATTTTCCAGGCTGATCAATCGTTAATCCTTCTCCTTAATTACTTTTTCTTTAACTTTGTGATGTGGAATTTAGTGCTCATGAAAAGAAAGAGCTGAGAGCCGTGAAATAAAGCGGGCTTTATCAATAGGTGATGGCCACTGCAGGCAGCCTCAAAGCCGGCTGAAAGGACTCCCTTGGCCTGTGGAGAGAGGGTAATTTGATCGCCTTCATTTTGCTCCCTGGCACTTACTTCAGGCAATAATGGCAAGCTGTTGTATTCAAATGGGGCTTTAAGAAATGTAGAATTAAAAACTTTGTTTTGCTGATAATAATTTTATCTCTGTTTAACAGCGACAAATGAACTGTACATGAGTCTCCCTGCAAGCACAGGCACATTGAGACAGAAGAATAGAAAACGAATGCTGGGGAATGGGTGCCAACACTCAGCAAACAAAGGGTTCGCGGTCTCAATCCCTTTATAAGAAATATTAATTTGGCTTTCTAATTAGGCAGAGAATGCGTGAAACTCTTAAGCTGTTCTCTCTCTCCCGCTACCACCATTTTATGGGCAGGAACTTTGAGGAAATCTC